GCGCCCCGCGCCCCTGCGAGCCCCCGCCGGCGCCCGCGACCATGGCCAACGCCGGGCTGCAGCTGCTCGGCTTCATCCTGGGCGTCATCGGCTGGATCGCCTCCATCGTCACCACCGCCCTGCCCCAGTGGAAGATGTACACCTACGCCGGCGACAACATTGTGACCGCCCAGTCCATCTACGAGGGGCTGTGGATGTCCTGCGTGTCGCAGAGCACCGGGCAGATCCAGTGCAAAGTCTTCGACTCGCTGCTGAATCTGAACAGTGAGTGCACCCTGCGCCGCGCCGCCGGGGCCGGGACAGACCCAGGCACACCCCGCCCGCACCCCGGGTCGGGGCGCGCCCCGCTCTCCTCTGATGACCTGGTTACCCGTGTTCAGGTGACCCAGGCCTCTGCTCATGTGCTCTGCTGTGAGGGAGAGAGGAGAGCCCTGTCTCAGCCAAGGGAGGCCAGGCTTTAGCTCTCACTTGCGTTTAACCCCCCGAGTGACCTCTTTCTGCCTGGTGTGGTTTCCTGTTAAATTCCTTAGACGGTGGGTGGAGGCTGGTGGCTGGAAGGCCGCACTCAAACTTGAGCTCCTAAGTGTCTTCTGGACTTTCGAAGGCGCTGTGTAACTCTGGGATTGGTAGGCTTGGAAGGCGACGTTGGTGTGCCTTGGCAGGCAATCCAAAACCATCAAAGAAGGACACATTGATAAGTGAAATCTCTCCTATCACTTTTCACAGTAAAAGTCACGTCTCTACTTAGTTATTGTCCATCTCAGTCTCTTGGACTCACATCTCAGTCTCTTCGACTCACATGTGAGGTTGAATCTTTAGTTTCGATTGATTTTTTAAGATCCAGTAAGTGCAGGGAAAATCCCTGCAAGACTCGGAAGAATCCTTTGGAGGTTCATCCGAGCTCAGGGTCTTCAGAAGAGGCAGATTGTATGGTACTATTTTAGCAAGGAAAAGCTTTTCGGGAAGTGGGAAAAGGACGAGAAGCCAGAAAAGTTCTGAGTAGAGAAGAGTTCAGGAAGGAAGGAGGCAGTGAGGGACAGGAGAGGCGGCGCCTCCCCTTTTCTACCCTTCCACGGAGGGATTTCTGCGTGATGGATGTTTACACCTCATTTTTCCACTTGGACAGAATGATGTAGAGAGAGATACGTCAAAGGGTGCTGCAGAGAGGGCCCGTAGGATGGCTCCCCGTGCTCCTTTTCGACGGCTTGTCAAGAAATCTTTAAGTCCCTTCTTAGGTGGTAACTCTTGGTAGGTGCATGATCTGCACTGAGGAACCCCAGGAGCCATTGTATACCATGTGTCTTACACCCTTTCACCGACTTGAAGGAAAGCTTTCTTAGCTTTTACTTAGACAAAGAAGACGGTCTCTCCATGGTGTGCCCAGAGTGGGGAGGATTGGCACTGTTTAGCCTCTGACTTTGTCCATGTCCTCGGAAGGAACAACCTTTAAAAGAGCAGGCTGAAAGCCATACAATCTAGAGTCATCAAAGCTATTCCAGGTGTGTGTGACCGTCATGAACACCTGTACATTCAGCCAGTGTGCATGGTGGCTTTGTGTGTTGTAGTTTCAACTTTTCAAAGTTAGCCTTTCAGAATTCTTTTATGTCAAAATTAACCTGTACGTGTAGTAATGGTGGGTGTTGCTTATTGACTTCCTAGGATATATTTATACTTCTAAAGTGAATCATTAGTAAGTAAGCATGGAATAGCCACATGGAAAGAGAAATACTTACAAGGAAACCGTCCAGACATTTCTGCTTCCTCCTATGGATTTGGCAGATGGAAAAGGTGGTAAGGGCCATTTTAGAGAGGTCTGCTTGTCAACTCTGTTCTTTCAGTCACAGTAATTCTTTTCCAACATGTTTAAATTAGTTTCTTTTAAACTTTCTTAGGTGACCAAATGGAATATGATCAATTCATGTGATTCTATATTTAAGTGTTTTGTTTGAATTTATTCTTCATTAATGTGGTTATTCAATTTTTTTTAAATTGTGGTGGAAGTCACAATTACTCCCTGGCTTGAGACGCATTCAGGTCAGCGACTTTTCCTTGTTTGTTTCATTACAAAAAAATCCCAAGAGCAGATTCTGTTTTCTGCTTTGGCTGAAGCCATAGTTTATCCAAGACGGAGTGATGACCTTTCTCCCAGAATCAATTCACAGAAGCTGGAGTCCTGACTCCCAGGATCCCGCCTCACTGGCCAGTGACTCACGAGATACCCCTGGATGGGGCCCAGAAAGTCCGTCCCTGTTTCTTCACCTGAGCACTGGTGCTCTCACCACCCACCTGTTGAGGAGTTGTGGGGTGCTGGTGATTCATGAACTGGTTTTGGTACACTGCTGTAACATCTAGAGATGAAAGGACATGTCTGTGTCTACAGAGGCCATGTGGCCCATAAAAGTTCATGTGTTCTGAAATGCTTTCAGATAAGGAAGTTTGTCTCAGGTTTCTGGGTATCGTACCTTACTGTCTTTGCCAGCAGAGCTACCTTGCTGTCCTAACAACTAAAAGAAAGGATTTATCAAGGTTTAAACAGTGTAGGCATTAAAATCTCTTATATCCTTCCCTTAGCTCATGTCAGCTGTAATAAAAGCATAAGACCTTCACAAAATAAAATAAAAGAATAGTATATACTGCATAGAGAATATGCTGTATACAACATAAGAGATGAGCTACAACATGGCTTATTTTAGGTAGTTTTTGCCAGTTTATGAGGATACAGCTGAGAAATTTCCTGGAGAAACAAATGTTATATTGTGTAACTTGGCTTTACAAGGGCCAAGACAATGCCCATCCCAATCCATTTCATAGGATGCTTGTTGGCACAAATGCCTTCTACAGCTGAAAAGTGGAATATGCCAATATTCTATCGGGAAGGAGAGTAGCACATTCAATTTCAGTAGACGTTTCTTGATTAGCCCATACATCTTGATCCAATTCTTCAGCTTTTGGGAAGCAAGTGCCTATTTCATGGGGTCAGTTAATTGCTTCTTTTTGCTTGACTTTAATAGCTAGAGCTGTCGAAAGATCGGGCTGTCGCGGTCGGCTGCAAGTTGGGAGGTATCTAAGCAGAGGATAAGTAAGCATTTTGCAGAAGTGTCCCTGGGAAGATCCAAGCACCAGACAAATGGGAGGTTAGGCTAGACTCTCTTTAAGTCTCACCTAACTCTGAGATTCTGTAATTTGTTCCTGAGCTACTCTAGCCTGTTAAACTTGCTCTGCATGAACCCACATGTGTGTAGGTGTGCTTAATGAGTACTGGTTGTCATGACGTTTCCCAGTGCTCTCTCCCTGATGTCAGGCTCAACCAGAGCAGCAAAATCACTGACTTGGACAATCTTTGAAGCTCACACAGAGAGGAAATCACCAGACTGCTGCATGCTTCCCTAAACTGCTGTATACCTGCAAAGTTGAGGGTTTTCAAAGGGCCATTGGTGTTCAGGTCTTTCAAGAATTACGTCTGATTCTTGGAATGATGAAAGTTGAAATGAAAATCCAGGCCTGAGATTAGAAATTCTAAATCTTTACCCGGAGTTTGCACTAAGTACCCGTATGTATAGTGGTGAGCCGTGTGAGCTTTTGGGCTCAAGAGGTTTCCGTGTTTATAAAACAGCAGAGTAGGAAGAAGACAGAGATGAATCCAAGATTCATTCATCTGTCCCACACCCGGGAGCCCAGCCCTTTTCTCATTCCTAGGAATGTAGCTAAGATGATTTCCAAGGTTTCTTCCACTGCCAGCATTCTTTCTTACTAACTTCAGTGACTGAGGAGGGCAGAGCATGTGGTTTATCTAGGGTTTCCTTGGTTGGAGTGATGGGAAAATGCCAAGAAATGATACAGAAGCATAAAATGAATCACGAGACAAGTAAGAAACGAACAAAAAAGAGTTAGCCTACTTCTCAGGATATTCTGACAAGCGCTAAGTTCTTCCTCACACTGGACCAGTTCAGTCATTGCCCCGTGCTCATGGTCTGAAGTCACACCTAGTGGTCACTAGCTCCTGTACTAATAAAATAGAAATGTGAACAATGAGGATGCTTGTGAACTTTGGAATGTCACTAAAAGGAAAAGACCTCAGAACTGAAAATTCTACAGGAGCATGGTTCGGTGATACCATGTGATGAGCTCATTTATTGCGAAGGAGAAAAGAGTGTTTTTGTTCTAGTCACTCAGTAATCAGTGTTTTTTTTTTAATTTATTTACCTAATACTTCTTAGTAACTACTGAAACAAAGAAGGACTGTGTAAGGATATAGAGATATAATTGAAATCCACTTTGTTTATGATACATAGTATGTAGGGTAAGAAGACAGTCATGCATATTATGGTTAGCAAGTACGAAAAACAATGTCAAGTATGTGCAGCAGACTCTGCTGCTTGTGTAGCAAGTCTTTAAAGCTTTAGAAAAAAACCCACATACTTGTCTATGCTTGTCTGTCTACACTTAATGTTGATTAACATAACTGTAGTAGACCAGTTCTGTCCAACTGGTTTCTTGTCTTATGAGTCAAAATCTTTGTAAGTATTTTTTTTTTTTTTTAATTATACTTCCAAGTTGAAAGTGGCGAGGACTCCTTAGGGGGTCCGTAAGCTCAAGATTATCAGTCTGGCTAAGTATAATTAAAAGACTGGCTCCTCTGTTGACTGCTAATTAATGACAAGAAACAATAATGTAACTTTTTGAATGTTTGCTAACCAGATTGCCTGGAGACCACTTTAATTGGTCATCATAATGTTACAGAAGTATCTGAAACTTGAAAAAAGGAATACCTTTGCTACTAGATTTGATGGAGTCAGGCCTGTTCCAAGTTCTTAGCAGAAAGCTCTCTTCTATCGCTGGGATCCAAAGTGTTATTTCGTAGCTTTCAAGCGTCTCCACTGACCTCTCTTGTCATACTACTAGAGAGAAAAAGAACGTTTACCTTGGGAGTTCATGGGGTACATAAATTTAAAATTAAATGAAATTGAGCAAAAAGTACAGATCTGTTTTTCCTTTTTGCATGAGTTTCTGGTTTTTAATGATCTAAACAAAGTCCAGCTGTATTTAGGAAGATGTTAGTATGCCCACCCTCTCTAAGGAGGTGTTTTTTATTCTTGTAAGAGTTAAGCTAAACAAAAGAGTATTTTTATTTGTCACATTATTACAGTTTTGAAGGATAAAGACTTTATTCTAATTTAAATCATGGAACGTAAGCTGAATAATGAGTCCACGTGACTTAGCAAGTACAATGCTTTAGTGCTTGGCGTGGAAACTGGAATATCTACCTCAAATCATCTAGGAGCTCACAATTACATATTTTTGAGTTGTAACTGAAAACAACTTGCACAAGACCTTAATTTGAAGGAATTCATGCAGCTCCAGCTTAAAACTGTGCAATTTAGGTTTGATCTGCACATAAATCCCTCATAACCTGTAACACAATACTTACTTTCTGCGACTCCTAACATACCATTACCAGTGCCCAGCTAGTGAATTTGCATGTTGTTATGCTTCTGGGCCCCTTTGTATGTGCACATGTGTATTATTTCTACATTTCTATCATATGTTCTTATAGTTTAGAATTTATTCTGATGGATGTCTTCTGTGAGATGTTTGTGTTTGATGTCAATCTAATATTGTAAAATACAAAAGAAAAAAATTCACCAGTCAGTGATGAATGGAAAAGACTTTTCAGAGCCACTTTTTTAAAACACTTATGCCCCTTGGTCTCTGTGGTTTATGCGATTCCTAAGTTTTATTTTGTTCCTTTTCTCCATTACTCTTTGCATATTAGACAAATAACATTGTTCTATGAGGAAAGGAAACACGGTGGGGTCATTAGCAAGCACTGGACAGAATATCTGTCTTTTCTTCCTCAGAAACTTTGCAAAATAAGTGGTAAAATAGATATGACATACTGAATGGACTTTTGTCTAAGTGATAGAGGAAAACTTGACAGATCAAAACTGTGACTGTTGGATCAGTCCAGTTTGGTGTAGATGGAGCCTGGAGGAGTTCATGCCTACTCCTTCTTTGCTTGCAGCGGAGGTGTTATACAGGTCTGATTCATGAGACTGAAGCCTACGAGACTCTTTGTGAAGGGTCCTTACAACCATGGGCTCAGTCCTGCTGGGGTAGTGGCCTGCCGTTTTCACATGACGAACAGATCCGTGTGATTATTATACAAGCTAGGTGAAGTTTGGGGCCCCATAACTTGAATCCAGTGAAAAACTGGAGAAAGAACAGAGAAAGCAACAAAAGTAAGTAACCCTTTGTAAGGGTTAGAAAGCTGAGTACTTGTGATACAGTGAAGTGGAAGTGACTGTGAGAGTTAAGAGGCTATGCATATTTGAAAGGCTGCCAGAGCAGTACTTTCCTTTTGCATGATCTCCATACTGAGGGTGAAAGTATGTCACCCCTGACTTACCATCCCCCAGTGAATTTTCATTACATTTAAAGTAGATACTAGCTGGGCATGGTGGTGCGTGCCTGTAATTCCAGTACTTGGGAGGTTGAAGCAGGAGAACTGTGACAAGTTCAAGGGCAGCCTGGGCTACATCGTGAGTTCAAGGCCAGCCTGAGATAGCAAGACCCTGTCTCAAACAAAACAAAACAAAACAAAATAGTGGACACCAAAATCCTTACCCAAATATACAAACTTCTTCTAAATATATGTCTCCTGCCTAAACCTCATTTCATGTCCCCCAACACATTCCCCATTGGGAAGACCAGCTCTCCCAGTTTCCCCAAGACTGAGAACTTCTTAGGATGCAAGACTTTTGTTTTTAAAGCAAGGACAGGACTAGATAACCTGGCATGAAGGTCACTCTCTCCTCCCCAAGTACAGACCAACTTTGTTACTTTCAACACTTACATACTTTCCTTCTGAGTGGAGACCTAGGCCCAAATCCATAATCTGTTTTATAGATAAGAGTTTGGCTATCATCTAAAAATTGTATCGCTAAGTAATGATTTTCTTGCAAAACCTGCTAGTATGTCAAAGAGAAATATACACCCTAACTCTAGTGTCCCCGGTACTTTCTTCTTCCTGCGCAGTAGTTTGTGATTTCAAGCCCAAAGTTCAGCCATAGTCTCCTAAATAGTTTTGGTTCTTAGTAAATCTGTGGTCTATGGAGTGTGTGTGTTTTGGTCCAGTATTTCCCCTGTCACCTTGGAATCTGCAGTTTTAAAATGGTATATTTGGACTGGTGTCCATATTCGCTCAATCATTATGAGCAGGTGGATGTGTAATTGTAGGCAAAGAACTACTGAATTTTGTTTTTGTCTTAAGGCTAAGAATTGAGCTCAGGGTCTTTGCACTGAGCTACGTCCCCAGCCCTTTACTTATCTTTGCGTTTGAGGCAAGATCTTGCAAAATTGCCAAGTTGCCCAGGCTGGGCTCAACTCATGATCTTCCGGCCTCAGCTCCTCAGAGTACTGGGATTGCGGGTATATGCCACTACACCTAGCTTGTTTTATTTTTCAATGAAATTAAATAGAAGTTTATTTTGGCTTTTTAAAATATCACTGAAATGCTATAGAATGTAATTCTTGATGCCTCTTAGACAGAGATTAATGTGATTTTATAATAGGTTTTTGAAGATAAAAGTATCAACAAATTAAAATAAAATAATAGGGCTAAGGCTATAGCTCAGTGGCACAAGCGCCTGCCTGGCAAGGACAAGGTCCTGGGTTCGATTACTGGTACCAAAAGGAAAAAAGAAAGAAAAAAAACCTTAAATAATAAAAAATATATAATGACATTTTAGAAATATTTAACTTTGATATGATGGGTGTGTTAAATTCGCTACTTCAAAGATACTGAGCATGAGTATAAATGAGATACTGGGATATAAAACCTTTCCAATGTCTCAGCCACTTTTGAATACCAGCAAGGGCTCAGTTCTAACTCCTTGGAGATATATCAACATTTATATTTTATACAACAAAAACACGATCCAAAAGAATACTAGACGGCTGAACCGAAGATCTCCTAGTTTGTTACAGTATGAGTAGTATTTATATGCGGGAAGATTCTTGTCTCATGCTGGCCATGAGAGAATGATCTTCAATGGGAAAAAATAAATCTATAATTTAAATAAAATCTTGTGCCAGGGATATAGCTCAGTGGCACAAGCGCCTGCCTGGCAATCCCAGGTACCAAATAAATAAATAAATACGTACATACATACATAAATAAAATCTTGTAGCCAGTATAGTTCATAGCACACTCTTTTTCAAGTTGGCATTTGCATGCCACAGTGATTCTGTTAACCTTGTATTCTGTAAGATCCGATGATGTCAGTTTGATCACAATTTAGTTCACCAAAGACAATAACAGGAAATTAAAAAATTAGTGGAATCCTGAGAAATACTAGAGTGAACTATTTTGTCTGCTATTTTACAACTTGATAGTTTAATTTCTAGAGCTAGTGATACTTTGTAAATATACTACTGTCTTCCAAGGTCACTTTCTCAAAATTGTTTTGAGAGAATTGCTTCCATATCCTTCCTATCTCTCCAGTAACTGGAGGTACAAACAGAACTTATTCAGCTAGGGTTATTTTGAAATTTCCTTTCTATTCCATAATCATTTACTCTTCCAAAGTTTAATGATTATACTGTAAAGCTGGTGGCCAATACTGAACTTGACCTGTAAGCCATGTTAATTACAAATGGTGAACATCAAGAATAATACATATGCTTGGTATTTCAAACTAAAAAACTCTATTAATACAGATTAAACACAAAAGACTTAGGCTAAACCCATTCAACTAGATCATTACTTATTTTTCCAGTTAACAATGAATTTAATTCTTTAAGGAGAAGTGTTAGGTGCTGAAGGGCCTTTTGTCCATCATCCACCCTGGATGCTGGTTCTTCTGCAGTTAACACCGTGACGGCTGTCAGTGGAAATGTCGCTAGAAAAGAAGCCTACTGACTCTCAATTCAGTTTTCACTTCTACATACAATATTGAACTTTACTTGATCTTCTACCATGTTTTTCTTGCTGATCTACACATGATTTTTTTACATTACTTAAAATATGTCTTGCCAGGCACTTTACAAGCCACCCGTGCCTTGATGATAATTGGGATCCTGCTGGGACTGATAGCCATCTTTGTGTCCACCATGGGGATGAAGTGTATGAAGTGCTTGGAAGACGATGAGGTACAGAAGATGCGGATGGCTGTCATTGGAGGTGTTATATTTCTTATTGCAGGTAAGAGAGTTTGGATCCCATTCTGTCTGTGCTGACCTGTCTCTGATGTAGTTTGAAATCTGGTATTCAGTTTCCTTGGGTTATGTTGAATGCATCACGCTTGAAATCATTTGAATTCCTTTATAATCTGCAGACATGGACTCCGTGGTCATGTGACTCATGTTCTCAAATGGAGCCAAATGAAAGCTTGACATTTGTCTACGCATGCCAGGAGTATTGTTTGTTAGAGCCAGTCTTCCCAGGTGAAGGGAGAAGTTTGCTACGTAGCCAATACCCTGGAATAATCTTACAGAGTTCAAAAAGTTTCTGTGGTGCCTCTACAGATATTATGTGAAGAAAATGAGAAGTAGTGAGGAAAAACATGAATAATATGTGATTATACAGGGCTGGGAAAGATGGATGGGATGAGATTATTCGAGAAAAATGAGGGGAACAGTCCAGATGGGCAGACCTGATTCCATAATAAATAGGGTGTTCCTATAGATCAAAAGTAGAAAAGCCAGGTGGAGTAGAGGTTGGATGTTAACATGCTAGGAAATTCAATTAGAGGAGTTAGGAAAGAAAATAATTCAGAAACATCTTGGGACAAAATATTGGTAAAAAATGAGGTTATGTTTTCCCCAGAAAATAAATATGTATTTGATGCTTTATTCCATTGTTGACAAATTCATTAGGTTATACGTCACTGGGAAAATGAAAGTTAGAAGATAGGAAATACCACTTCAAAGCTTTATAGTAAGGCTTATTTTAAATATAACAGATAATATATTACATATATATTATCTGTTATATTTATTATTATATAGTGAAGATGTTTACTGTAAATGTAGACATGTTGAAGACATTTATTGTAAATGTAGAGATCTATCTCTACATATAGATGTATAGTAGCTAGATCTAGCAATAGACTGCTGCGTATACTATATATATAATTATATATAGTTATCTGTTATTTTTAAGACAACAGTGATGTAAATCTAGTGTGGTGAGAATAAAATTACACCTTTTTTTTTGTTCTTGTTGATGGAAGACCTGTAGGGGTTTTTGCTCCACCTTAACACATGGATTTAACATGTGGAAGGAAGGTGTGAGGGACTTGGTTAAAGGTGTGGTTGAAGTGATAAGTTGCTCAGTTTTTCTGATGCAAACCAGCTCCTGCCTGGAAAGCAGGAATGGTATATTATTACTAACAATATAATCTTACATCAAAGTTAGCAAATAATTGGCAGTATAGCACCCTTACTCTGCTACTTCCTGTGATACCCAGAGAGGACTGTGCCACTCCTATCCAGTCTCAGGGACTTCCTATGGAGTGCAGGCTGCAAGTTCCAGAGCTTGTGTATAGCTGATTTGAGCAGCAACACACAGACACACACACACACACACACACACACACACACACACACACACACGTGTACAGAGATACAAAATGGGATTGCTTTCTGCCAAGTATTGGAGGCAGATTGGACCCCTCTTTTGCAGGGGAATATGACTAACATAGGAATGAAACAACTGATATTGGTTAATTCTTAGCATTACATGAAGAAAAGATGTGTAGTTTCTTTTAAATCTATTTTTAATCAACAGATAACTATCATATACAGCATGATGTTTTAGAGTATATAGACATTGTAGAATAAATAAGCTAAGCCAATTACAATGCATTTTACCTCACATTTATGTGAAAAGGACACCTTTACATTCATTCTGTTAAGTTTTCAGAAACCTAGCCACCATTTTGTGTGATATATCTCCTGAATTTAGTCCTCCTGTCTTAGTGAAATTTTGTATCTTTGAACTAGTATCTCTGTGGGTAAGAAAATCTGTTGTATTTTATATTTCTTAAAAATGATCACATAGGGAATTTTGATTAAATGACTTCTCTGGCATTATTAATATAAAATGTTCTAGGAACAGGACCTTGTGTTTTATAATTTCATTTAATGTTACACCGTCACCAAATCATAACAATGTCAAGAGTTACCTTGGCCAGAGGACCAGTAGGAATCCAGGAATTCTACACGTTCTGAGACAGATCCTGTTTATCTGCTATCCAGCTGTTTGTTTTGCATTGATCTATCAGAAATAAAAATTTTGATTTTGGTTAGTAATGTAAAAGGGTTTTCATCTTCGCTTTTGTAAGCAACTCTATACTAGTAATAAAAATAGTTTTATCAAGTATACCAAACTACAATGCAGCCCTACCTTTGAAGGAGACCTTAAGCAAAGTGAACCTACTGATTAATTTCAAAAAAGCATTATTTGTGTCAGGGGCATTGAACTAAAGGTAAATACGCTATCATAAGTAGTATAAACTATGCTTAGGTCCATCTTAATATTTTCATATATCTCAACAGAACACTTTGACTCAGTCATATCTAAATCAAATCTGTTTGTTCCTAATACTGAAATTAAAATGTCAGCTCTAGTGATAAGATTTTGTTCTTCTAAAATATATTCATGTTTAATAGTTTATGTTTTTCTGCCCGGTGTTCTGTGGTGATTAACAGTCTTTTGTTCTGAATTTTTGTAGGTCTCGCTATTCTAGTTGCCACAGCATGGTACGGCAATAGAATTGTTCAACAATTCTATGACCCAATGACCCCCGTCAATGCCAGGTAATGCTATTCAGGCATAAAATAGTTTATTCTCTGAGAAAATACCTTTTATGCTCAGCAAAGGCCTGCTAGTACCATAGTTTCTCAGATTTGCTTTCAAGAATTGCAGGGAATTTTATGTCAAACTTGCATACAATTTAAATGACCTGTGACTCATGTTAAAATGGGCTTGATAATTGTTTTAATAGCCTATATTGACGACAAAATGAACTTCATAGTAAAGTTCTAAGCTGTATACTTCCCAGCTGCATGCTATATCCTTGGTTTTTTTTCTCCTAAATATTAACAAACACGTTAATGAATTTGAAATTTTCTCTTTGAAGGGCATTCTGATGTCTCCATCTCCTCATTATTTATAATAATGCATTTTATGACTGATTGAAAAAGAATACCTCTCACATAGTGTTTGATAAATAATACTTCACCCCAACAGTTAAATTCATAATGCATTTTTACTAGTACATGGAGATACCACTGTAAAATTTTATGTTCTATCACGGCTATAAAATTAACATTACAAAGGTCATCTGTCTTAATATTACAAGTTGTGCAAGTTAAAACGCTTATTCTTGGATCTCATGTAGCAACACTCTTTGATCGGGGACTGTGCTTCTTGTCTCACTGCCGTCATCTCATCTTTAAAGCTTAATAACTGCATTCAAAGTCAGGATGCTAAAATATAATTATTGTTTGTGAGTGCAGGGATGAATGAAAAAAATCTCAGTGTTTGCAGAGATAAGATGAGCTTTCTTTTATATAGTCACCCACACACAAAAGAACACAGACTGCAGTGGTTTTTGTTGGAGCCCATCCCATAAGACTTACAATGCAGGGTTCAAAACTGCTGGAGGTCAGTAGGCCAAAATTCTACCACTGTGTGCATGAAAGCGATTTATAAATTGCTGTGCAGGATGCATTTGTTATTTACACAGTCACATATGATCCTGAAAGCAATACAGGGAGGTAGATGGAATTATCCTGCTTTGAAAGAAAACACCGTGAGTGAGAAGGAAGCTGCTACCCCAGAACTGCAGTAGTTGAGAGAATACATCAAGATGCAAACCCAGGCTGTACAGCACCTAGACCCAGCCTTTCATTCTGTATTTTTTCCAGTCAGCCACAGATGCCTCCCTAAGAATCCGGTGTGCTATATTTCTTTGCATCAGCTTGATTCACAATGTGCATGGGCTGTTCCAGAATCTTTTTTATAAAACATAAAGTTTTGGTTTTAGTCCATACAGATATCAGAAATCAATGATTGAAAATTATAGTCGTCTCCATCACATGGTGGACTTTGCTTGTAGAATATGATTTCTACTTGATGATAGTATAACTCCATAAGCTTTAGCCTAGGAACTATTGTATAATCCCCACTTCTAAAATATGTGAATATGCTTCACAAGCCTGTATTGCATGGGAAAATCTTTGGAAATGATTGTGTAATTAAGCTGATATCACGTCGTATTGCTTGATGTAATATTGCAAATCTCCAATAATTACAATTCAAATATTCTTATGTATGTGTGCTTACAAACTATAAACTACCTCCCAAGGGGTTATGGGTGGAGGAAAACTATTTTAAGTGGGAAAAAAACTTAATAATATAAGATATAGATTTTCTTCCTTAATTATATCTTTTTTTTTTTTTTTTTGTGTTTTCTCTGGTACCGGGAACCGAACTCACGACGTTTTTTTTTTTTTTTTCTTAATTATATCTTAAAAATTGCCCACCCTTGCCTAACAAATACATTGCCTCCTCTTTTCAGGTATGAGTTTGGTCAGGCCCTCTTCATTGGTTGGGCTGCTGCAGCTCTCTGCCTTCTGGGAGGTTTTCTACTTTGCTGCTGCTGTCCCCAAAAAGCAACCTCTTACCCAACGCCAAGGCCTTATCCGAAACCCGTACCTTCCAGTGGGAAAGACTATGTGTGACGGGGGCCACAGGAGACCACCCCCCTGGAACGAGGAGAGAATGGACTTTGAAATATCGTCATTGACCTTGAGATCGTAGACTTTCCACTTGCAATCCGAACTGTGGTATTACAAAAGAAACCATATTTTTATAAATACCAATTGCTAGAAATAGCCTACTCCTATTTTCCCTTCTTTCCTCAGGATAAGAGGGAAGCCTTTTCCATTTGTATCAGTGCTTCCCGCTGAGCAATCGCTCTCCAATGGGAGGAAATGATGCTCCTTAAATATGTATAGATGTGTATATATACATGTTTTTCTATAAAAATTTAGTCAGATCTGTTACTGTCATTATGTTGGTATCAGCATATTTAAAATATTTCTAAAGTAGAAAATATATATGTAATTCCCTTTTGATTAAGAAGTTTATTGGTATATTTTTTCTTCTCTCTCTACACATATCTAATATAGCAAATATCATTTAATCCCGTCCTAAGATTTTGCTGTCTTCCCCATAAGACCAAAATTGTTTGCCAAGTAGTAATTTCTGTTCATCATGTGTAACCTTTTTGTCTGCTTGTTTGATTTTAATTTCTGCCATAACCTCAGAGCACTTGCTCATTTCTTATTTTTGCTTCTGGAAGTTGGTCTCTGACTCCTCAGTCTGATAATGCATGCCATAGCCTACATTTTAAGACCAAAAGCCAGTGAGAATTTCTTTAAAAATCAGTGCAGTGAGCCGGTATCTTCCCCATGACCTGATGATATTTTCTTGTTAAGATTGCCACATGTTCCTGTACTTTGACCAAATGTACTCTTATTTGCTTTGAAAATATTTGTTTCATTGAGCAGCTGTGCCACTCACCTCAATATTGTGACACAGTTTTATTGATTGAATTTTTTAAAGTAGTTATTCACAGCTCCATAGCACCTAAAATATTTATTTCTTTGTCCTTTTTTGGCTGTATTTTTTTCTCAGATGGAAGTGCCATATATTTTTTCCTTGCCCCAGCAAGGTGTGGTCTGTTTATCTAAACAGAGTGCTAGACTTGCTGGAGTGATAATCTGATGCCAAATATTCTCTCTGGAGCTGTGATCAAGTCATTTAATCTTTCTGCCTCTTTTCCCATCTGTTAAATTGAAATAATTATGCTTAACCAGCTGGTAGAAGTAATGTGAGTATTAATTAGTTGATATGACTCTCATTCCATTAATATGAACTCCGCCTAAGTAGTGTTTGTCTTTGCTCAGCTGGCAGTTTTGCTGTCACTGAATAAAACATAAACACATGACTTCACATTGTCCCATATCTTTGGCTTTCCTGAGGTCCATGGCCTTTCCTTTTGCTGTGCCTAGCATGCTGTAGGTGTTCTGTTTCATTTTCATAACTGCTCTTCCTCTTGCAGTCTGTAGAAGATGCTGGTTCATTGGAGCAAGATGATACGATAGAAAGGGTGTTGGTTTTGTTGTCTAGCGCACTGAGTTTGAATCTAATTATTCTGAGGTTGGGCAAGGCACTTGGCTGCCCTAGATAGACTACTTTGTCTGTAAAAGAAGAAAAGAATATATCTATAATTCCAGATCTGCCTATGTCGCAGGATCCATGTGGCTTTTTAAAGTGAAATATGAAGGAATGAAGGAAATTAAGTGTATAGGTTTGGGGTTACTTTTCAAATGACTGAAAAGAGATTAGTTTTAGAAACAGAGTTTCTTGTATTAACCAACCTCCCAAGAAATGAGACCCTAAAGTGATATTCAGCTCACTAGGTGAAAGGCATTCTAAGGAAGTTCTAGTTTCTTCCATCGGTATGGACTGATGTCCTTGTAGCTACGTAGAAATAATAGAGAAAGTAAAAGCCTAAGTGTTGGCAAAGCTAACAATGTGGGAGAGCTTTTGAAGTCCATCCTGTGAGGAGATATATGGTGCTACCTGTTAAGCATTACCTTCAGAATAACCCTGCTAGGATAACCGGAGAAAAGCACTTCATGGTAAATCCACATGGAGAAAGTTGTGCAAAGAACTGTGCCTGGAATATTTGAAGCAGGTGATCTTTACTGTGTCTTCCAAGCCTGACAGTACGCTTCTAGAAGTTATCATTCAAAGAGCCTTTTTCACATATACAGATCCTAATGGTGTGTAAGTATAAATGTATATGTGTAAACTCGAAACTAATCTCCGGTCAAAAAGGATCCAATAGAATTTTTCTGCCAAAATGTATCCAGTTTTGATATTTATGTAGCCTACTACCGTGCCTTGAAATGGACCAATAGATATTGGGGAAGAGGGGTACTAGGAATTTGTATAAAGCATTACTCTTTTTCAATAAATTTTTTTTTAAATAAAAGAATCCATCGTTTATTTTCTCACCACTTATTTTGAGATTGTTCTGCTTGCAAGAGGAAGTGATTTGAGGTAAATCTGATTCACTGTGTTCCTGGGAAAAAGCTATGATCCCTCTGGATTTTAAATATCTATCACGTATGTCCATGCCTCCCCTCAATACGATGCTGTATCTCTCTCAGAGTGAGCTCCAGGCTAGTCAGAAAGAAATACTAGGAAATACTGCTTAAGTATTTTTTAATCTATAAACCAGGTACACATAACAATGAATGAATGAAGAGGACAGGACAGCAGCTTGGAACTCCGTGATTGTTTTCATTGTGATCATTTTCAAAACTACCTCTCAGGAAAGCAGAGAATACAAATTATTTGCTCATTTTCTTAATACATCAATAACATTACCTTAAAAGTGGCCTCTCCCTGGCCAATTTTCATATTAATCAGACAAGGCCTATGGGCAGAAGATGGCGGCTTCACTGAGGAGTCTGAGGAATTAGTGCGGGGGGAGGGAGCACCCACTGCTGGTGCACTTGATTTGAATTTTCTGTAAATTAAACAGACACAGCAGAACCCAGTGCATTTCTGCAGCATTTAAGTGTCTAATGGTGAGGTTCCGGCCCACAGAGTTTAAAAAAATAAAATTCCTCGATGCCCCTAAAAAGAACTGAAGGGAAAACCAGAGTGCAACTCACACCAAGCAGACATCCGCCTCTGAGCTCACTTGCCTCTAACATTGTTCTCCAAACCATAATATCATTCCTCCCTCATTTAGTGATTTCTATGTAGCAAATCTCACGGTGTTTTGAATGCTTGACTTCCATCGACAGATTTTTCCAAAATAGCCAATATTGGCCATTAAAAATGACATATGAATTCCTTAAATTAGTATTTGCTGGATACCTACCATGGGCTGGCACCATGAAATGCAGGCAAGTTAAAGGAGATACGAAATGAGTAAGATACGATCCTGGGCCTGAGAGTAGTATGATTAAGTTTTAGTGGGAAGAGAAGTGAACTTAAAACATAGCATCGGTTCTGCCATGATCAGACATGGGAACTACGGAGCACTCCACCCACTGTGGCCTACTTTGAAAAAGCAAGGGTGGAGATTCGTGCAGGCTTTCTGTCTTCATAATAGCAACTTAAAATCACCTGGATGATTTTGAAACTTCCAATGCTAGGCCCTGCCCCTAAGCAGAGCAAAAACTATTAAAAGTTATTATGATGAGCTAAATTACAAAATAAAGTGAAATTCAGAAAAATCTCATTATAGAAACTCCTTACAGATTCTTCTTAGGGCTTTTTTTCATTACTACCTTAGCAAATAAGCTTAATGACATGGTATTATGGCATTTGTACATTAAAGCTTTATCACACCTTCAAGAACAGCCATTCTTTTCTAGGCTGAAGTTCTTTTCAAAAGAAAAATAAAGACAGTTGAAATGTATACCTCAGGTCAAACTCTGAGGTTCTTACTCCATGTCTACATTCCATTAAAGAATTCAAGAAAGCTATAGCATCTCTAAATGAAGGACAAGGAATTTAATCTAATCACCTTCCCAGAGCAGGAATGAAAAATCTCTGATTTTTGTTTTCCTAGAATCTTCCTGGAGCACCCACAACAAATAAACATAACAATGATGGATTGGTATCTGGGCCTTTTGATTATTTTATTATCAGCTCTGTCTCTCAAGAACATACTTTTTTCTGTGTCTGACTTATTTTACTTATCATAATGTCCCCCACATTCATTCACACTGCCACTGATGCCCTCAATTATATGTGGATCTGAAGACGCTGATTTCATAAAAGCGGAGCGTTGAATAATGCTTACCAGCGGATAGAGAAAAACACAATTCTGTTGTTGTGATCTGATCAGAACTTATACACACATTAGCCAGTTCTTCAAAAGGAGACATATATTAAAACTAGATGATTTTGCATCCGCAAGAACCAGTTCTAAATTAAGGATGAAATAAAATGGGAGTGGACTATGAACAAAGGAACTATGCCATCATTTCAGCATACCACTCATTAATGAATGATTCTGCTTTTAGGAAAATAAAGTCAAAGAGAGAAATACCTCTTCTGTATTCCTAATCCAACCACCTGCCACTTTCCTTCAAACATTGTGCTTTCAATTTTAAGAAGAATTGGAGGAAGAACATATTTAGATTTACATATACGGAAGCTCAACAATGTGCTGTGTAGGAGACAATGTAACAGGGGACTAACTTTTATAGCCATCTTTACAGTGTATATTAGGATCACAAGCAAGGTCACCTATGCATGGAATATTCAGGGAAAGATGCAAGGAGACACTGGTGGTTGACCTACATCTTAGAAGACTTGTAGATGCAGCGATACAGGAGAGAGAATTCCAGACAGAAACATCTAAACAAATATATCAAAACATGAGATATTATGAGATAGTTAGGAATCTAGGGAGAGGAGGAGGACTTGGCCACTGATAGAAAGTAAGGGAGAAAAAAGATCATTGAAGATACCAGCCCCTTCCCAAGTTCTCCCATTGTCTATCACTATTAGACCTCAGGACAATGATCTAAATAGAATCCACTAATGTAGATTAGGCTCATTCTCAGGTCTGAAGAAATTACTAGTACTACACTCAACAGGCTCACATATAAAACATTAAAAATAATATTGTTCTCACTTCCCTTTTAATGAAGAAAATACTATTTTTCTAGAGTTGAAGGAAAATTTAAGAAAATTTTATACTAGACATCTTTTGTGATAATTCATATCTAGTAACTACTTTTCCTTTTAATAGTAACATATAGTTTATTTGATAAAAACATCCTATTTTGTTTTCCATAAGTGTGGGTCAGATGATTTACCCTGCCACCTCTTTCTAACTCTGAAACAGAGTCCTACAACAGTCTATTCCATATGCCCAGCAAGTTATAAATATCTTTAAGAATATAATTATAAAATATAGAGTAAAACAACCAAAATTCTCTCAGGCATGCACACTCTAATGTTTTATTTCATCCCCAAGAATGGATGGATTCTTCCTGTCTTACCATTGTTGGTCTTAAATGACTGTTTAAAACATCAGCAAATTTTGTCAACTTTATCTTGAAAATTTGTTCTGAATCTTATCATTCCACGTTCAATAATCCCTTCCTCAACACTCTACAGTTCCAGCATTTTTCAAAAATTCAAGTTCAAATCTCCCTTGAGATTCAAGGGAAACTCTTAGCTGTGATCTCATGTAAAAAATGGAAAAAACAATTTCCATAATCCCAAGATACAATGGAACAAAGTAAACATTCTCATTCCAAAAAGGAAGACTAGGAGGATGCAGAAAGAACTGAACCAAAGCAAGAATAAAATGTACGAGGGGAAACATTAAATCCTATTACTCTATATCTGGCATTGGAAGACAGCTGTAAATTGTGAGTTCCAGAGAGCTTCACCTTCCGCTTTAGTTTTCCTGGCTGTAGCCCATATGACCTCTCTTCTGAGCTGATTCCTTTCATGTCCTACAGGTTTCTTGAAGAGATATTTTACATTCTTGACATCTCTGACTTACTGGGGTCTGTGCTTCAACTTTAGCATCATTCCCATGTCTTCACATACTGACTTCTCAGGGATTTTTTCCTGGCCTCCCAGGCCTTCTTTTGAAAGTAGAAACCTCCATGACCCCACAACTCCTGCATTTGGCATGGAAGTAAAATCTACCTCATGTGGACAATACTAAGGTCTGCTGTCTGCTAGGGCAGTAGCCTGGTCCCCTTGGCCTATGGTAGTGGTGGCTTCTTAGGTGCTTTGATGGTTTAACATGGGGAAATATAAATCAAGTTGTACCTATGCAATTTGATTCAAGGTATTTTATTATAATTGTTAGCAAACAAAGCTGTCTTTCTTGAGAAGTTGGTAGATTCTTTAAAAAGCCTAAAGCCAAAAAAAACAAAAAAAGAAATAAAAATCCAAGTCTATAAGGAAAGAAGAGCTGAGGGATGGTGTTGGGACAGACACTGAAAACAGAGTCCCAGGCCCTGGACCAGACATCTCTAGTGCTAGTCTAATCTCTGCAGTTTCCCGCATGTGCAGAAATGAACTTTTTCCTTGTTCGTCATGAACTTTGACCTGGATTTCTCTCATTCACTTCTGAAGAATTGTCAAAGAATTGCCAAGAATTAGCAGTTATCAAAGAATTCTTACTAAAATAACCATGAATCTCTTTTTGAGGTTCATAGATAGATAAAGACCTGGAAGAAGAAAGCTTTTCCCAACTTCACAAAGTGAAAAATGGAGGCAGAACGTAAGCTTGGACGTTCCTAGTCCAAATCCTACTTTTTTCCACTCTGTAGCGTCCTTGTTGACTGCATACACTCAAAATCTCCTGTAATCTCAGGTTGTACGTTTACAAAACAACCAGATACTCTAGCCAAGAATCCTAGGAAATTAAGTAGATTGAGATGAATTTCCTAGTGTTATTTAATCTTTTTAAATATAAAATGCTACCTCACTGCAGGGGAGTCAGCTCAGAAAAAAATAAACTCTCTAGAGAAAATATTAGAGCTAATCCTCTCAGTGTAACTTAAACTATACGGTTACCAGGGAAAGGAAAATTACTTTTATAAAGCTTTGTTTTTCCTCCAAAGCATGTTACTTTCATGCTTTTTCCTTTGGTTTATTGAAAGGCATAAATCTTTTTAAATTCCTGCATTCTGATAAATACAGCACACCTTGTTTCTGTGTATTACTCTGTACTTGACAACCCCCACAAGCTCATTGGTGCCTATCTTAGGACATAGTTTCTTGCTTAACTACTATCTGGCATATAACAAACAGCTGACATCTTATATTATTTAAATATGCACATAAAAGTTTCTTGTCTGCAGTACTGTGAAAGTATGTGGGTGAGTTTCTTGTATCATTTTTGAGCTCTGACATAATTACTCCATTGGATATCCGTGTTTTCTATATGCTGCATATTAGAATATAATTTTTTAAAGCTGTAAAAGACCATTTACTGTA